TTTATCCTGAAAGCGATCACTTTTATATCCTGGTATAACTATATCTGTCCTGAAAATTTCATCAAAATTTGCGAAGAACTATTTGAAACATCTTGCTCACTAAAAAACAAACCAATACTAATGAAAAGATCACCTCCTACATTGGCAGGGATTTTTATTAGAGGGAACAGGTAAAAACATTTTCAGACAGTTTTTTTTTAAACAAAAGCATTTCACTTTTTTAAAAGCTTGACTGCAAACCCTGTTATGTACAACAATCATCCTATAACTTCTGAGTATATCCGTCAGCATAATGCGCCATTTGCTATAAGAGATGGATAGGCTCAGAAATTATATAGGCAGGGAGATGCACTCAAGTCCCTAAATTTCTAGAGCAACAACTCAAGTTTTTTCAAATCACTTAGAATTCAGACTAAGAATCTACTATATCTTCAGTTTAAATATAAGTCTCAGATTGTCTAGTTTAAGTACATGGGAGGTGCATTTTAATGGGTTGAATTAAGTGTCACCTTTTTATGCACAGGTATTAGAATCCATTATGATAATGTCAACTGCCAGGGCCTTGCTCTCAACATGGCAAACTTCAGCCAGATAAGAAATTATGTCATTGTATCATTATCAATGCCTGATGGGGAAAGGTTGTCTAGGGTTAGTGTTTTTCCTGTTCTGTCAGGCTAGTATTTGGAAAAGAGTACCCTACCACCTCTGCCAATATTTTCAACAGCACTTGCTTGTTTGAGTGTTTTCTGTTTGTTTGTTTGTTTGTGGACAATATACCCCAAAATGTTCTAAAATGATTGTGTAATGTTCAAGATTGAAAGACAGAAGGAAAGAGATGAATACAGTTTCATCTGAATCTACATCTTCAACACATTTTACAAAATAATTTTTTTATTTTATACCATTATTACTTACATTTTGCCTTCAAGTTGGTGGAGGTCAGTGCTCTCACAGTGCTCTCTGTAGTTAAATGTTTTGGGCAAAAAGGAGTAGCAATTTCTTTTCAAATTGGATAGTTCAGCCCCAGCCTGGATAAACATTGCTTGATACATTGTTGCAAACTCTATTACTACAAGAAACCTTGGCTTCATCACATCATGCAGAAATTTTAAATCTAAGCTAAACAATAGAACTCATAGTTGTGCATGAATCTGCTAATTTCAGCAAAATTCAGTGCTACCTGAATAAGACAAAACCGAATCCTGAAAACAGCACTAATTTACTAAATTTATGTGGTGGTTTGATTAAAAAAAACTTGCATGATATATAATTTCATGTGTTGGCAATGTGGACTACAGACATACAAACTGTTCGTCATGCAGTAATAAGATGCTTATGCCTTACTCTAGATCTTATAAAAAAAAAAAAAAAAAAAAAAAAAAAAAAAACTGTGACCATGCAAATCACTGATTTTATCAAAGGCAAAGAAATGTGGCAATTATTCTGCACCAATAGCTGCCTATTTATGTAGACTTATGCACATTTTTCCTGAGTTAAAGTAGACTAAAATCAGGTCTAAATGTTAGACCAACTTTCAGTTTTTAGTTCTTTTGTGAAACTGGCCTTAGGGAAGGTGGGAAAGTTCGAATGTGCAAGGGAAAAAGGAGGCCAACAGGAGCATTGCCCTTCCACTGCTTAGCAACATGATCAGCCTTTTTTATAACAACAAAGGAAAACTGAATTGAAGAGATAGCTTGGGAAGGCAACCAGGTGAAGCACACTACACCTGCAAAAATGCCAGTGAGATCATTTTCAGGACTTGCATGAAATAAAACAAGGTATACATTTGGAAACGATTCATCAAAAGAGGGTTAATTTTAGACATGGCCTTAAATATAGCCAAAAATTCAAGTAGGAAGCTCCCAAAATAGATACTTGATATATGGTAGTGCAAAAATGTAGATGCACTTAGGCAAATTTGGTGAGTGTGGGAGAGAGAAATTGCATGTCATCTGCAAGTGTAATCTTGATTTATGAGTGAGTGCATCACACACACACACACACACACACACACACACACACACCATGACAGATAGAGAAAGTGAAAGAGAGAGAGAGAGAGAGAGAGAGTAAGCACAAAGAGGTATATTTTTGGTTTGTTTGATCTGTTTCAATATTTTTATAATTGCTTCATATAAACTGGAATCTTTTATTTTAACTAAAATGCATGTTAGTGCCATGCTTTCATCTTAAGCCCTGTTTGTTTGAAAGCATTTTTAATTGAAATATTGAGTGATGTTACAGTTTAGTTTATCGACAGCTGATGAAGGTACACGTGCACTATTATTTAACTTTGAAAGTAAATATTTATAGGTCAAATAAAAAATTAAATATCCTTGGGGACATAATTCGCTGTGTGGAATAGTGTGATGCTGTCTACTGCAGGTTTTTTTTGGTGGTTGTTTTTCCTTTACAGATGAGCCTTTTTTTAACAGTTAATTTGGTAAAGAGCTTAATAATCCAATGCAATGATTTGAAGTAGAAATAACGCTCCTTCAGCCGTTGATTGAAAAAACTTTTATTGTGAATTTAACAATTAATTTGGCGTGATTTTATGTAGCGTAGAGCAAGAGCTTATAACATATGGATGTGGTAGAGTGCGTGATGAGACTTAACCCGCAGGTTTGTTGAAATGTTACAAACTTTGTTGATAAAAATTTTCAATAAAATATTTAGTTCAATGTGACTAAGGTAAAGTAATAGGATTTCCGGCAATGTGTATTCTTATCCCATGATAGGTTTATTTGTTCTGTGTCCTAGAACAAACATGGAGGCACTGGACTGAACATGTAATAGATTAACGTGCAAAAACAGAGCTAAAATCAATGAATATTAGAGTAGCAGTCTGTGTATAGTTGTAGGTAAATGAAATGGAAGTAATTGTGCTAGATTAGTGGCAGCAGCTTGCTTTGTCTGAAGGATGCCAGATATTAATTGGACTAAGCAATTTGTAGTTTGAACATAGGAGAAAGAAGAGGTTAGGACAAGCTAAATGGCCAACTGTCAGTTATTTCTTGGAATAAGGTTGATTAGGAAGACAAAAACTGGATCAGGTAGTTATCATTATAGAAGACTTATGCAGAGCACAACAGCATGGTGGTAAATGTCTCTCTGAGTACAGATCAAAGCATATAGCCCATATATTGGCTTTGTAGAAAAGAGTATTAGACAACATGCATGTAGTTAAGAATTCTTTGTTACTGTGTTTGTGATTCGTGAAGAAAGCAGTATTGTTTAAAGACACAGGTGGGTAGTAATGACATCAGGGAAGGTATCATATTTATTCAGGGGCGGATCCAGAGTTATTTTCTGACAGTCTTCCAAATTATCTTTGTTGATCCATCCTCCATTTTTTGACCGTCTTCCGACAGAAATAATTAGATACCCGTCAATGTAAACTTGAAAATCTGACCGTCTTCCGGAAGACCCAGAAGACCCCCTAAATCCGCCCCTGATATTTATCTCATTCCAGCCAGAATCAGTTTCATCTGTAATTGAAACACGAAGTTAGGACTTTACTCTAGTGGAGCCACTGCTTGCTGGAGTGCTCATTTTTTTTTTGCTGGAAATTCTCATTGTAAGATAATATGTTTGTTGCATGGGTATTATGCTCTCTGGGTTGAAAGCATGTAATCTCTGTAACATTGCCAAGTCCCAAGAGACAGCTCTGTAGCATATTATGTACGCTGATGATCTTTTCTGTCCTGTATTTCAATTGATCACCAGTCGTGGCTATATAGGCAAATGACCAATAATAATAGCAGAGAATTGGAGAAACCATTATATGTCAGTTTTAGGCCAAGATACATTTTTTTTGTGTTCAGTTACATTACCTGTTTAAATTGTTTTATAAAGTGAAAAATTGTGAATGGATAAGATGCAAAAGATTTGAAAAAATCGAGATCTTAGAATGTTTAAGGTACTTTTGCAGTTCAGCTAAAAATAAACAAAATGAAGGTAATGTTAGGAATTAAACCCGAGTGGAGTAGTTCTGTTATCAGATATGTAATTTAGCTTCTTTTTCATCTACGTGTATCATTAGATAAACCTACCAAGATCAAGAAAATATATAAAAGATATAAGTAATATTTAAAATCACTCCCTGTATAAAACATGGATGAGAAGATTGTACAATATGGCTAAAATATGATTGATTCTCTTTTACGGTCCCAGCAGGGAACAAAATCTCCAGAGGCAATTTATTTAATTAGACTACCATACATTCACTAGTTAACAAATATTAGAATTAATTCCTGAAAAATCAATGACAACCCCTAATGGGTTAATTTAATGGGGAATGACGAGAAATTCTAGGAGTTGATGGCTATATAACAGGGGTATTTTAAACAAAAAATTAAAAAAAAAAAAGAAAGAATTTCAGCGAAGGCCAATAAATATGGATAAAGTGATGTGGAAATTGACTTGAGATGGTGTTGGTTACTTTTGGCTTTAGTCAAACAACTGATATTTCAACAAAGCGCAGATTATTGGGCAGAAATGGCAAGATATAAGCTGTTTATGGAGTGCAAATAAGAAATATTGAAGAATGAATTTAAACTTACTTGTACACAAGGAAATGGGAAGTTCTTTGTGCAGCAGCTTTGGAGTTTTGTTCATCAATATAGCACACAATCAACCTAGCTCATGATATGCAATCTCTGTCTTAAACTAAAAGATGATGGCATAGCTGATACCAATCTAGAAGACATTCTCAGTATAGTATTTGACTTAAGAAAACTTAAAAATTAGATATTTATATCAACTGAAAGGTATAGTGTGTATACCAATATTTTTCTTTTGATTTCGTCACTAAAATGAAAAAAAAGAAAAAATGAAAAATTTCCATTTTGTTTCTTCAAATACATGCTCGATTATATTTTATTGTGGTTATATTTTATAAATTAATGCATTGGAATACATGCATAATGACCTGGAAAAAAGATAGCACGCACATGCTGGCTGGGTATTTCAACTCCTTTTAGGATAAAGTGAAGGTTTACGAGACAACTGCATTGACCTGAAATGCATTTTATTATATTGTTTTCCTCAGTACTGGCTATATGAGTGCTTTGCAGTAAAATGTGGGTTCACAAATTCATGGAGACCAGGAGTATATGCAGAGAGGGCTCGGATACAAGGCTTCATATGATTTGATGCATGATTTAAACAGATATAAACCAAACTGCAATATTGCATGATTGACCTGGATTGTAATTGAGCTGCAGGCCTCAATTGAGTCGAGATTTTCTCGTGGCAGTTCTCAGAATTGGTAGCACAGGGCCGGGGTTTCTGATTTCTGCCTGTCATGTCTGAAGATCATGAGAGTTAGAAAGTTAGAAAATAAGGTTTTTATTTTCTGAAGGAGTATTGTATTCAGGTTATTTAGCTATATTCATAACTGAGACTCCTTATGATACATTGGGCATTTTGCTGAATTTTATTTCAGCATCATACAATGTGTATCACATTCTAATTTTTAATTCATTATCGTATTTTGAATTCACATACAGATATGCTGAAACATTTTATCCCTTTTTGGTATTTATGTGCCCATGCATGCACATATGGACAATTAAATGACCAGGCAAGAATGTGTGCATGCATGCATTTACACTAGAACATGTGCATATATGCAGTTTTAAAAAGTCTTTTTATAAATTTTAATATCTTTGTGAACATTGAATATTCTGTAGGGCAATTTATCTCATCTTGCAGTTTTTTTTTTGACAAATCTTATAATATCACATATTTCAGTGTATGTTTTCTCAAATAAAAGGGAACTTCTTGGAGAAGATGTATTTGCATTGCAAAGAATAATTTATCTGAGATTTATTTGTTTTCCAGCACCCTAGTGTCAGGAGCAGGTCATAAACCACTTGCCTTTACACAGGCCTAAGGAATTTTTATTATCTATTTCTCATATTGAACCACTTAAATTGATCTATATTCTCTCTTACAGGGTGTATGCGCAGGCTCAAGTATGAAGTTAGTCTATAGAACAGCTGCAAGTACCTGAACTCGAGTTAGGATGACAACTAAATAGGACAGGGGACAGCTCACGACTGGAGTCCACCATCTGCTGATTATACCTTTTGTAAAAAAGGCTACGATTTGGATACTTTGGTCAATAAAACTATGTGTGTAATTGCATAGAAGTCAATGCGAGACATGGCTACCTACTTGTTAAATTACTTAGCCATCAGCAAGCTTAAGCAACACTTGCCAAGTGGAATGGTTGGGTGCAAATTGATTGAGTACTCCAGCGGGACAATGTTGGAAAGGGACCCGAGTTTTCTCCTTCATTCTCAGAAAAGTACTCTTGTGCAGAGGTATGTCATCTAACATGGAGTCAAAAGAGAAAACAACAAAGGAAAGTGGGAGAGTTAAGATGGATAAAAAGGCACACCCTCATGTTGATACCTTGTCAAGTGTGGTAGATTCAAAGGAAAAATCACCAAAGGAAGGTAAAGGAATAGTGGATAAAAAAGGTTCAAAACCACCATCCTTATCATCGTTGACAATTAAACAAAATGGAGTTAATTCGCCTTCTAGCCCAGCCAGCAAATCCCCATCCGCTGGATCGAGTCAAAGTGGAAGCAGGTCACCATCACCGTTTGGACAGCGCCCAAGATCTCCATTGTTTTTTGGACACAGTACATCAAAATTGACTTCTTCACCAGCTAACAGTACTCCTTCTCACGTTCCTTCCAAGTCCCCCAGTAGTGTTTCTGTTGATGGTGGTCATAAAACACATTTTCCGTGGACCAAGTCTTCTTCTTCAGATGGGCCCTCACAAAGCCCAGATCCCGATGCTGTGGCACCTTTTTCTAGGGACACTGCTAGTGCCAGTGAGATTCTTACTGTCAGTAAAGAAAAGGGGGGAAAGAGAGAAGCGCGGAAAAAGCCAGAAATCAGAATACAATTAACAGGTAAGTGAACTTTTTCAATTGTAATTTTTATGTAGTGTCACAGGGTTTCAATTTTTACAGGTTTTTAAGTCCCTGGTGCACTCTCTGGAACCCCTCTTCCCCCCTGTCTTCTAAGGCAGTGACTTGCAAATGATGTGATTTTTTTTATTTATCACTGGGGAACTGAAATGGCCTGATGGTCAGAACCTGGAAGAATCCTTTGTATCACTTATAGTATGTATGTATACTGAATTTTTAAAATTATATATTAAGCTTATCTTAAAGTTATTTTTGAGATCCAAAGGAATTAAGAGCAACTCTAATCCCCCTTGAGATCCTGTCTGAAACAAATTTATCCTATGAATTCATTACATTCTGTTGGTTGTAGACAAGTCATCAATACAAATTGTCTAGAAATGGACTCCTCTTGACGCAAGCACTACAGTCTGACCTTTCACAGTGACGTATATTTCTGATTTGTCAGCATTCTTTTTGTGTCAGTAAATCTTTGCTTTTCACAGAGAAATTCAATAGAAGGACTAAAATTAGCAAAGTAAATAGCACGCACTACATAATTGAGGCTTCTATTACCAAAGCAAAGACTGATTTCTTTAAATCATATGCAAAATTAATTTTTTACCATGCCCTTCACATGTTACTCTAGGTAAATGGTGGTTTGATAGCTAAGTGTGGGAGAAAAAGTATAAATATAGAATAAATGAAACAGCTCATATGGCAGAATTATTTGAACATGATTGTGCTTCATAATAATGTGGAGAAGGAGAGTGAGAAAGATAGTGAGAGTGACAGGAGGAGAGAAAATCTAGGAGGAGGAAATAATATGATAACACTTCAGCCATGGTGTAATGAATACTGGACATCCTTTAACCATCTCTTTGTAAAATAATTAATTAAAACACTAAGTTTAATTGATTTTTATTGTAAGCTTATTAGACTGCTGACAAAGGGCATCATTTTGTTTATTATGGGAAGAAGACCTTGTCTTATTCTTGAGCCTCAAGTGCCTAGATGTTGATTAAAAAGTAAATTTCTACTGATTGGTTTAACAGCAAATTTCTTATCAGGTTTCCAATGTTTGGAAACTGTGCTTCAGTTATTACATTACGCTGCTGTGTCTAACATTGTTATATAATAGAACTAATTATCTAAGCAGCATAAATACATTTTTTTTCATTTTAATTCCCACCAGAATTAAATATCATCTGCCAAGGCAAAAAGAAATAATGATTGAATTTTATGTATTTTTTTGAAATCACATTTGTTTTACCAGTTGCTGCATGTGCAGTGGAAATCAGCTGAGATAGCTTAAAGCAAGGCTGTCAACTATAGTACAAGACTAGAAAATGTGCGAGAATCTGTATGATGCATAGCAAACTGTCTTAGAAAGCAATACGTACAAAAGTAAAACACAAAACATACAGGGAATACAATACTACTAACTTGGTGCAAAAGACTGAAATTAGACCAAACCAGCAAAATATGTGGATAAATTCTGTCAGCTTTTACTGATTGCCACATGGCACTGACCTGTCTGTCATTATTTCTGTCCCCACTCTCTTCCAAGTCTGGCAAAATACCACTTGATTTTTTTTACGATAAGTTGTGAGGCTTTGGTGTTTCTTGGATGATTCCCATTGTAAACAGGTTAGTGCAACAAACTATAATGTGGTTTGTTTCATCTTGAGAGATCTTCTGTAGAAGATAACCTAAGTGACTTATGGAGATCCCTGTCAGCCTGAAATGTCAGAAAGATAGTAATTGGACATGAAAAATATATTTGTTTCCATGACAATTATAAGAAATGCCCATCCTTTTTCATTGTGTGAGTTTTGTGTGGTTTGTGCTGAGTTAAACTTATCCCTAGGTTTGGCAGGGCAGACCGGTACCTTCATGATTCCTGACATTTTTTTATATGTATACATGTCTGTGTAAACTTAAAGTTCTTTGTTGTAGAAGTACTGTATTGAGTTTGTCTTTTATCTGAGATGAGTTGGGCTGCTATTTATTATTGTTGATGTCTCTACCACTTTCTCTTTACTATCCATGTATATTTTCACTAAAAACTTCTTTTTGGTTGTGATGTGTTTTTTCATGCAATGATACATCAGATTTTTTTTACCTGAAGCTAGATCACTGCTGAGGTCTAATTCATGTTATATGTCGTGAAATTTTCATTATATACATATGTAAGTTTTTGTTTTTTTAAGGTGAGAAAAAAGTGGGAAATATAATAGATGTATACAAAAGAAAATGATATATATACAATAAAAATACATTTATTGGATTTTTAGATGAAAAGTCAAGGTTCAGAATCTACGGTGGTTTGGGTAATATTGCAGATATTATGTTCATAGCATTATCAGGTATTGAAGAACACATGAAAGGAAGTCATGCAGGCATCTATAAACCAGACTTTGTCTCACATAATATCAATTACCTCAGGAAATTTGGGGATGTTTCATGCTTTATTTCTTGTCTTTACAAGTTAGTAATGGTATTGTATCTGAAGATGGGGAAATTGTACACAAAATGTATACCTTTCATAATGCAAAATAGAAGTAATTGATTTGATCCATTTAACTCATTGAAAATATTTTGACATGAAGTGGAGATAGTTTAATAGACATGAGAAATAATTTGATAATACCTACAGTCTTTTGTCAACAGAGACAAGTAAGCATATGTGATTAAAAATTCCTCCTCAATATTGCATTATAACGTCTAACCCTGTTACCAGTTACTTTTTCAAACTCATTATTATTAACTCTTTCTGCTGTTTTTCCCCTCTCAAATAATGGTCTATCATTAAAAATTCATCAAAATTTGTGATGATCCTTTTAGCAGTCTTGTCAGTAACAATGAAACAGATGCCAATAAAAAAAAATAACTTTCTCCTTGGTGGAGATAAACAACACCACCAGAACATAGATTTCTGAAAGGCATTTTTTGGTCACACTGTGTAGATTTTGGTTTCCCTGAATTTTGGAATCCCTGTTCATCCTCTCACTCTGCTGACTGCATAACTCAAGCAAATTTGTAGCGGGTGGGTGCAATCAGGAAGATTGCTTTAGTTCCTAGATTTATAGATAAATCTAAAAAATGTTTTTAGTCAATGTTGTGAAAAGGCTAGAAATGGTGAGTGTTTGTAGTTCATACACTGGCTATGAAGCTCCCAGTCTCCAATAGCTCTTTGAAGCATTCAACAAATGCAGGTGATATATATATATATATATATATATATATATATATATATATATATATATATATATATTGGATAACAACTGTACTGAGTTTAAACGGATACTGGAAATTCAACCGTAGAAGTATGCCGATGGTGGAGAGAGAAGTTTCCTCTAAGGTTCAGAGGGATAGCCTCTGACTGGGTTAGAAATCTGGGAGGTACACTGGTACTAGCAGTTAATAATACTGCTTCAGCCAAGTTGGCGTGCCTGGATATTGATTAATATTTGAAATTGACATTTATCTGTTTGGTAATGTGAGCAAGCTGTGAGGGTACTGGGAATATGTAGATTGGATGGTTTGCTGTTTTTGTTCCATGAGAGAATCACACTTTTGGAAGGACAAAAAATGATGTCATTTTGAGAACTGAAGTCATGACATTCACGTAAAACTACCCTGAGCTTTAGATCATTGGGGATTTTTCAGATATAGTGGGCAACGGTCCACTTTGAACCTTTCAGCTTAAGCCCACCTGCTTTCAAAATACCATGCCAATCACAAATATTCTTTCTGTTTTCTATATATGTGGCTAAGCATCATTTGCTAGATAAATGCACTTGAAAAAGAGTTGCAACCCTATTCATTGGTAACATGCACTGATTGCTTGTCTGAATAACTTTTTGTTCACATTTGTTTAGTTTTATTATTTAAAAGTGTTATTATTATCATTATTTAGATATATGTGAACTATGAATTTCGATACATTTAATTCTATCTAACTTGAAATTTGGTGAATTTGAGGGGAATTAGTTAGATAAGTACAATTGCATTACTTTCTCTGTTGTTTATTCTCTCTCTCTCTCTCTCTCTCTCTCTCTCTCTCTCTCTCTCTCTCTCTCTCTCTGTGTGTGTGTGTGTGTGTGTCTGTGTGTGTGTGTGTGTGTGTGAAAAATACAAATGAAAAATCCTATTGTGTTAAGTGACATTTACAAAATGTACATTAAACATTTTTAGTGTAACCAATGGAAACTGGTTATATATAGATGTAGCTTACATCATCAGCCATTAGATAATGTGCTTAAACCATTAAAACCATCAAAGACAATGTGATTCTTTTGCAGCCTTGATTTGGTACATAAAGTCTGGAGTCACTCTGACAAATAAAAAGGCACTTGTTGACAAGACAAATGGTGTTGGACTCAGAAGTTCAGGTTAATTCACCAGAACTAGATATATATATATATGAACTTGGATCAGACAGGTGAAATCATTGTTTCATATTGTAAAAAAAATTTTTCTTTGTTGAAACAGTAGTCAGGAAAAATGTTAGATATACAGACAAGCTTGGGTATTTTAAGTTACATTAATTTTAGTAGGTAAGTGAATGTAATTAATATTAGCTAAAAGGTATATCACAAAGCAATGCAAAACAAAAATTGCAAACAAAAAAATTGATAAATGAAATAATGTAGATTTTGATTAAAAGAATAAAGATAATAAAAAATAGTAGTATCATTGGACATTTGATAAACTATGTGAGTGCTAGGCTCGTTGATTTGTATTCAACATGAGATTTGAACATAGAACTGGATTAATGCTTAGAAATAATGCATCAAGTACCACCTTAGAGAGTGTGAATTGGATGGTGTAATGACTACAAATCATGCATGTCTTGTCTCATGTAAAGCCAACACCCTCAGAGAGGGGGAGGGGGGGGGGTGATTACAGACTACCCATTTTGGTCAAAAGTACACTAAGGAACATTGGTCTCTGTAATGTGTCTCTTTTCAGCTTAGCTGCACAATTCACCAGCCCATTTC